GAATAACAAGCAACCCCCCCCCCCCCCTCTGCTGCAAGCGTTCCTTTTGTTCAGAGGGCAGGGCTCCTGTATGCTCCTGTGAAGACTTACTCGAGACCAGAGCCGTTGTAGTGAGCACAAGACCAAGAAGATGAGTTGTCGAGAGCACAAGCTGTCGGCAACACCTGCTCAGGGCTGATGTGGCCGGGCTTCTTTACCATTTGCGTCCCGGGCCGAGACAACTTGTATTGACGTCTCCGCCCGTTCGACATGCATGTCACGGTCCGGCACTACACACCGGTGTGGTGCACAAAGGAGATGTGGCATACAGACAGCCGTAGCAGTATCAAGAAAACCCTGCCTAGCATAGCCGCAACACACAGCACTCGCAGCATCAAAAGCAGGACAGGACGGGGTAGCATTGAACAACCACCAGTGCTAATGTGATTTGTGCATGCAACATGTGCATATACAGACCGTTTTACTTGCCTGCTTGCCTGCTTGCTTACTTGCTCCCCTTGCTTCCTTACTTTCTTGCTCCCTTGCGTGCTGGCTTACTTGCCTGTTGCATCAGGTTGTTTTTGATGTCTCGTCTTTACAGTTTTCCTTCCTTTTCCTCACTGACTTAGTTCTACTTACTCATGTCACATTTGGCCTCAGGCTGCGTCACAGCTGGCCTCCGCCTTTACAGCATACCTTCTGTACAAGGACACTGGGCCCCTGATTGTATCTGCACACGATTCAGTGAACAGATCGGTCCACGCTTAATGTTGTGTCAACTTGAAATCGAGGAAGCCGAGACATTTGACGATGAGTCCCGCCGTCGCGTATGCTGCATGTGTATTGATGTCGATTCCCGCAACCTCCGCACAGCATTACGATCTAGCTTTCATGCTTCCAAAGAGAGACCGTGTGAACAAATCTACACGCATAGCGTCACGAGAGTGCAGCCTTCAGCTCACGGCTTGGTATTGAGAGCGCGACATGGCAGGGAGGAGCCGTTCTTTGCAACAGCTGAGCAGGCGCACCTTTCAGCTGCGGAACCGCTGCATCAAGCACTCGAAAATCGCGTGGAGAGAACCTTCCGGCAACGAGCGGCCACGTGCTACTGTGTCAAGGCCCGCATATACAACTCCGCGCTGCAGCACACTGTCGCGACCTCAGCGCAAATTTTGCATTTTGTGCATTCTCATGGACTTGCAGCAAGGAGAGACCGTCAAGGTCAGTGGGGTTCTCAGAGAATCGAAGAGCTAAGCTGTTCAAGTTCGGTCGCGATGGTGACCAAGGCCCGCTCGGAGGGCCCAGTGAAAGCCTTCGCTGGAACAGCCCACAAGCTCCTGCTGCGGCCTAACTGCGACCTCAGGCCTATCTCGCGTCTCCATGCCCTGCTGTCCCGAGGCCATGAGACACGATCCAAGACGGATTGTGCAAGGCAGAACCAGCGACAAAAGAAAGGCTTCTTCTGCATCCGGCGACTTCATCGCATGTTGGATGCATTTGAAATGTGGCTTTTCCTGTCACATCTCCGAGTCTCACCCGCAGACCAAGAGGCTCAAGGAGCTCAGTGCCCGTGGTGCCCCTGAGCTCCCTGAGCAGAGCCTAGTTGCCTGCCGAATGTCATGAGAACCAGATTCAGATCTCTGGTGCATGGCTGAAGATCCCGACCACTCGGCACCGTCCTGAGGACGTCATGTGTCTCACTCCAGCAATTACCGGCAGTGGCGAGCAGGAGCTTTCCATTTTAATTGAAGCTTCAATGACGTGAGGCCAGCCACTGGCTGCAACGTCTGCCAGAAGAGCAGCCCGAGGCTTTCAAGGCTTGCCTAGTTCTGCATCTTCAGCTCTTCTCTGTGTTCGGCTGTTGTTGGTGTTTGCTGAAACTAGGTGCCTGTGACCCACGTGCAAAGCAGCCAGCTGGTTCAGCTCGTCCTTGATCCGGCCGCGCGCTTGTGGTGTGCGTGGACATCAGTGCTCGTTACTTACATCGCACAGCAACCCAAGGAGGTGGCAAAGACCATAACGATGGCGAAAGCCTGCAGAGTATTTTCGACGTACGGTGCTGTTGCTTCAATAAACCTGTCGCTGGCCCGCAGAGGCGTGGGTACCGTGCTGTGTGAGACGCGAGCAGTCGGCAGACCGTCGGAGAATCGCCGAATCCAAGGAGCGACTGCTCCCGACACGGACTGGTTGAAGTGAGCCCTGTCAGCAGAAAGACTGGACTAAAGATCATCCTACTGAAGACTCCTGGGTGCTCAGGTCATACTTCGAGACGAGCTCTGCTGAAGCTTTGGTCGCAGATGCTGGGAAAGGGCTGGCAGCAGAAGCTGAAAGCCAGGACCGAGAACGTCAACCTGCTGTAAGCTTCATGTAGAAAGCATGACAGTCTTGACGACTCCCGACTATCAAGGATGAGTCCCTGACCGGCGCAACGCAGGCATCGGTTCTTGGCGGGTTGGATTCACCCTTGTCGAGTGTCAGTCAAGCCTGCAGTCCAGCATGGGCAACTTTGTCAGGCAATATCCAGCGGTTACAGCGTTTCACAAACCGGTGCGCCGACGCTCTACCCTGAAGATGCTTCAGGACTCTCAGGCCACGGATGAAGTGCGGACGGCATGCGTATCAAGCTTACAGATGGTTCTTATGCTTGTCCCAGCTGTAGTTTTGAGTGTAGTGCTTCTTCGTCTTCTTCTTGTTGCTGATGTTGCTGGGAGTCGTGGAAGCCTCTCGGCTCAGGGGAGGTCAGGCATTGTCCAGTTAGCCTTTTCCTCGCTCGCCATGGCATTCGCCACAGCCTGAGCTGTCCCGGTCCCAAGTCCGGGAGTGAGCATTCGGCAATAACAGAGATTGCAAGAGGCTGCCAGAGGTGTGGGTTGTCGGTTTGCGCAGCCGGCAGGACCCACGGATATCATCCACCTCCTGAAGGGAAAGGCAAGCGATCCTATCAGAAGGCGGTAAGATTGGCTTGGCAGCACAACATACATTGGCAAGACCCTTACACTGGCGGAGCTTGGAGGTACTCCGGCTCTGCCGGAGCAGCTAATTCGCTCACACAAAAAGTTGAAGGTGGGATACGGACAAGGGTATAGAGTATATCTCCTGGAATGCAGGTTCGCTGACTACAGCGGTCTGGGAAGAGTTGCTCTCCTTGCTACAAACCCCAGCATACTCCGAAGTGAAGATCCTGTCAATCCAAGAGACACATGGGAGGGGTAGACTGGCACATGGTAAGCTCAGGGTCCTTCATCAATGAAAAGGGAGCTGGAGTGCTCATTATGGTTCACAGTTCGCTGTGCAACTCCAAGGACCTACGTTTTAACGAGGTCATCCCTGGGAGGCTCCTACACACGTTCGAATCCCCGGCAAGGACGTTGCCCTGGATGCATTCTCGTACTGTCAGCACCTTTGGCGGCCCAAGGGCACCATAGCTTCCAACAAGGACAGAGCCGCGCAGGAACGCTCGAGACCTTAGGCCGCTCGCTCAGCAATATCCCCCGTCGACATACATTGTTCGAAGTGGCACAGTGGAGAGAGGGTAGTCGGCCTTTCCCGCTGAGAGGCACAGTCATTCACGGCAGGGAGTACTCCGCCAAGGCCCAGCTACCCTGCGACGCAGGAGACATGGAGGACAGCTTCAGACTCCACGACCATCGGATCCAAGTAGAGAGAAGAAACCTAGGAGAAGCTGAGCCCTCTTGCGACCGGCTCCGAGGGTGTATCCAACAAGCTCTCGTGCAAACTTTTTCTAGGAGGCGTGCCGAAAGACAGCACGAAGACCTAACCTTTTGGGAACACAGAAAGGTGCTTCGGAACCTTCCCCAAACACCCCTAGCCCTAGCACTATCTGACCTCCACAGGGGGATCAAAATGCGGATGGCTTGGAGGTGTTGGGGCTCGATAGCCAGTCAAAGTGCCAAAGCACGTCAGGCAAAGCAGCGTAAGTTCGCTGTGCGTCAGGCTGTGGTCGATGAACAGCTCCGTGCAGCTGAAGACAAAGCACCGAAAGATGCCACTCCCTTTATAAGGTAATCAAGGAACGAGTGCAGCTCAGGGACGATCAAGGGCATTTCGTTAATCCCAGCGAAGAAAAGCAGGCTCTCGAGACCTATCCAACCTATTCGTTGGACCTTTTCGGGAGCGGCACGGACTTCCCGATGACCGGCCAACCGGATTTTTGGAGATGACGGAGGAGGAGGCGAGAAATCAGCTTTGTGGCAAGGCAGTCCCACACGGATGCCTGCCAATCGTTTCCTGGCGATCCTTGGGTGACATAGCACATCAGCATATCGCCTCCCTCCTTAACGATGAAGTCCAGCAGAGTTAGATGGGGGGCAGCGGAGGCTATATGTAAGGCTCTCACCCACATAGATGAATCCATCTCACCCACATAGATGAATCCAGAGCCAAATTGCAAACTTTTCAGAGAATAGCGGGGCAAGGTTCAAGGGGGGTGAAGCTGAAGGGCAGCCTAAACCTTAGCGTCGACATGAACCTTAGCGTCGACATGAGCAAGGCTGTTGACACAGTCAACAGGGTCCGGCTGCGAGAGGCCGTCGAGGCTGCTTCAACTGCCCCCTTCATAGTCGAAGTAGTGGGGGAAGCTCCACAACGAGGCCCTCTACAAGATGACAACGTCAGACAGCTCATTCAGCGTAGCAACCAAGCGTGGAATGAAGCAGGGATGTTCTTTGGCCCCCTCGATGTTCGCCTTTGCTACAGGCCTTCTATTCACGCGCCTCTCAGGACATTGCGAGCCGGACATGCTAGCATGGATACTCACTATTCACTATGTGCGCGGATGACAGTGTGCTGCAAATGCATTTTGATGATCCCCAAGAGCTGCATGAGGCACTACAAGTGTGCGATCTTCTATTAGATCAGCTCGTCGAGCTTGGTTTTAATGGTAACCCGACAAACTCAGCCATGCTCCTGCAGATGCACGGAGAATCGGCTCAGCCGACAAGGGAGAAACTCACCTTTAGGAAGGACGGACCTTTGTCGAGAGAGAAGGCCAATGGTATGCAGGGGATGATTCCTGCCCCCGGTCCCAACCGCTCTCCAACAACGGCAGGTCGTCAGCAACTGCTACCTGCTTTTCTCGAATGAACGGGTACTAGCAATTAGGTCCTCTCCAAAAGTGGGGATACTCGCCATGTCGCTGCATCAGAATGCTGCCATGTCGGATGCAGGTACCGGAAAAAGCGGTGATGCGCCTGGAGGAGATTCTCCCCAGAAGCGGCAGCGTGGTGGAGGTGCTCCTTAAGGCAAAGGAGGTGGCAAAGGTCAAAACAGAGCAGGGAATACGCCACAGGAGCCTGTTATCAATACAAAATCCTCCTCACGGCAAGGCGGAGGCACAGATGCTCTGGTCTCGGCCATGGCTAGGCTGGTATTCACGCACGACGAGCAGATCCATGCCATTGCCTTCGACCTCAGCTTTGTTTCCTATGTCAAAGCGGATGAGGCGCGCGGTACCAACCCCCTGTGGCCTGCTGTCCTACGGGACGGGGTGAATGCCGGTGCAGGGCTTCGGCACGGCCTGCTGCGGGAGCTTTCTGGTAGAGTTACTCTCCAGACTGAGCGAGATCAAAACGAAGGAAACGGAGTTACACCCCAGAAGGAGCTGCCAACTCTCCAAAAGAAGGAAGAGAGCAGTCTCACGACAGCTTCAAGAGCCACAGTAGGTCAGACACTCGCGAAGCGAGGAAAAGTTTCACAGTGTCGCAATCATCCTCCCGCTGTGTGTGAATGAAATGGGAATCGTAGTCTTTGGGACCGTCGCCGTACCATCATCAGCAGCAACAGTTGCAGTAGCACCACGGAAAACCACCAGCGCCACCACGACGCCACCCGCCACAAGGACGTTGGCAGGACGACGGCGACTGCGACGATTATTACGACTTAGGGGTTGCCACAGCACAATTCCGCAATTGCTACTGCTAACATGTGCTTGCTTGATTTACATCTTCTGCCATTGTCTTGCTGCTGCTCCTGCTGCTACTACGATGATGTCACCTACTCGTGCGGTACAACTGCTGGCCCCCCTATCTGTCCCAGTCATAGAGGCAGACCGGCGTCATTCAGTGCAAGCGGGAAGTCTTGCAAGTATATTCATTGATTTGATGGCTGCGATGGCATATGAAGAACCACGAGCCGCAGTAGCGATTGTAGTGATTCCGACAAGGAACGGGGTGGCAGCATTACAGTTGCTTATGTGTCGGTCGGGAGACAACATCACATCGTATTGGTGGTAGTGGGGCAAGATCCCGACAGAAGCAAGTTCAGACTTTGCGTTTCATTTTGTTTTCGGCAGAATGGAAGTACGTGTTATTTGCGGTCGTTTGCATGTATTTGAAGCTGTTTTCTTCGTTGTTGTGGCTGTCTCTCAGGACTGCCAGATAATCACGACGCGGCATCCCATGTCGAAACAACACCGCTTGCTGCACTATCTGGGCCGAAACAAATATCTCCCGAAGATGATTACTGCGTTTCATGGACTTGTCTGGAAGGCAGTTCGGATACGGGGAGAAGTCAAGTTCAAGCTTATGGCGCGTCATTTACCGAGTTACAAGTTGCGGCCTTGGTCGACAAGCTCCCCGGACATACGTGGAGTTGTGGTGATTCCTGCTGTCATAGGTCCTGCTCGCGTCAGATCTTGCATCCAAGGTTAACAGAGAGCCAGAATAGGCAGGTGCAGGCCGGGACTTCCGGGGGAGTTTCTGACGCTGACAAGCACCCACAAACACAAGCACGTTTCCAAGACCGCACACGGTCCCAAATCAGGATCATCAACCTCGATGTACAGACGAACTGGCACCACTGCTTCAGCTGCAATCCAACAGCTCTTGTCTGCGGGGAATCAGAAGTGCAACACGAAGGGCTCGAAGTAAGCAACAGCGCTATAGACTTTAGAAGCCATGTGCGCGTTATGCAACACTGCACAAACCAGACAAACCCGTTTTTACCAATGATTGCGCGAATGCCAAAACATAGTGACACATCAGTGGCAAGCTTAGGTAAAGTAAGAAAGCTTTTCAAATCTGCAAGGACCAGAGTGTGTGTTCGATGTTTGTGTGCGAAATGTCCATGAAGTTGCAGATTTTCATCGCCCTCCAGGGTGTCGACATTCCGGCTGCACATGCTGTGCCGCTCCCTTTTCCGGAGTCGAAGGTCGGGGCTGGTTGTCTGGTGGATGGGTGCCGTCCTTGCGCGTTTTTGGATCGGGAGGACACTTCTGCTCTGCTCTCCATCAACGTGGTGGGCACTGAGATTCGCTTTTGCTGTTGAGGCCTGGATGGGCCTGGAGGCTGTCTGCCCAAATCGCAGGATAAGCTGGAGAGCGGCGAGGACACGCGGACGACAGTCACCTGGCATGAGTGTTCTGTTTGTGCTGCACTACTGCCAGCCAGCCAGCCTGACACACCAGACCTGTAGCTATCGCTCCTGCCCATACTTTGTCAGCCCGGCAGTCAAATTCAGGGTTCTGGGTGTGAGCGAGTGCGTTTCTTGATGTTCTGTGCTAGGCCTTAAGCACAGGTTTGGGTCCCTCCCCCTCAGACTGCTTGCAGCGTGGGACACCGAAAGGATGAACTGAGGTCTCAGCTAGATGTTACCGGGCTAGTTCTGAATGTGCATGTCCGACGGATTGTCTCTTTCAGGTCATGGTTGCCAGGATACCAAAAACATGCACTTCAGAATCTCGGCTCATGTATGCTCTGCACGATCTGGAGCGCACTTCGTAGACAGACTGACTGAGGAGCGGTTCCTGACCCGTTTGCGCGACCTGGATTTGCTCAACAAGTTGAGGCGCCTTTCCTGGATTTAGGGTTCCATTTGCACAGTTTTGGACCATGGGCAACAGGTGGCTAATTCGTGCTTCGTGGCACTCATTGGATCAACTGAAGGGGTCTCAGATCCTGTCTACAGTAGCAAAAACCGGTGGCGGTCTTCAGTCTTCAGGCTTTTCAGATGGGAGGTTTTAGGAAGTCGGACAATGCTGTCCCTATGAGCGTGCTTATGATGATAGTGTACGCTTCGTTGTAAAGCCCAGGTTTTTCTACATGCCCATCGATGTTTCACGAAATCGTCCCTGTGGCACCTTGGCAGAAGAAAGGGTGTTACGGTTTCGGATCTTTCGGCCTACAGCCAGTCTGGACTTGCGTTGCTATTCTCGGTGGCCGCTCTAGTTTGTCGACTCTATGTCAAACCGATGCACCATTTCAAGCCATATTGATCTCTTGCAGGCTTCTCTTGGAAGAGTATGCTTGGAAGAATATGTCCGATAGAATAATAGAAGGAAGCGAGGCTGTCTCTTGAAGTCCACAAGGAAACGCACCGCGACGAGGCTCAGACAAGGCGAGTGCTGGAGGAGCGCTTCCTGAAACAACCTGATATATCCCGACAGCAACAGCAAGCACGTGGCGGCAGCTATGCCATGCCAATGAAAGGCTTTGTGAGATGAACTCGTACCCGGCCTTGTTGTCTAGCGTACTTGTCTATTCGAAGTAACACTCCCCGACGGCGAACACCCCCGCACTCCGACCCGAAAGTCGAAAAAACTTGATTCCTAGCAGATGCCATGTCCTGCCTGCCGGCAAAGGCGGCTTCATTATTGGGGACATCGACGCCCACAGTTGCGGCCTTGACGGGTCACGTCGTCGACTTCCCCCCCACCCGGCGCTGTGAACCCACATGTCTTCGCTGCACCAACCTCTTCGATCATCGGCGGCACCGGTGGTGGCACCTGTACACCCCCGCATAGGCTCGACGGCCAGGGCACCGACTGGCGCCGTCGCTCTTGCGGGATCAGCGCCGACGTCGTTCTCTGGTGGCGCGCAGCTCCCTCTGCGGTGAAGCCGACGACGCAGACGCACCAGAGGCAGTGTCATTTTCATTCCTAGATGCTGAAGCGGGTGGGAGTGCAGCGGATTGCCGTCATCATGCAGCTGATTATTGCCATTATCTTTCACATGATGGCCAACATCTACCCTGTCTGGCGCCCAGCTCTTTCTCCGCAGGCTGATCACTCGAGGTCACAGTGATTCAATGCCGGGGTGGTCCTTTGCTTCGTTGCCTCCAACGGCCAGAAGAATGGCCAAACCTGGATATGGACGCTCTGCACACGACTGCACTTCTGCACCTGATTTGTTTTGGGCCATAGATTGACCATGACAAGAGCAGCTTTGCGGCATGCAAGTTGCTTGTCGGTCCAACTTGGAGCATGTTGGGGAGGCTCCATTACAGTTCTGGAAGACCATATCTTCCTGTGATTGCATGTGTTAATCTCTGCAAGATTTCGCATTGTACATCCTTGTATTATGTTTCCACTGGTCGTCGAATCGGATGCACTTGGATGTGGCCGTCTACACTGCTGTTTGCAAGACGCTCCGAGCGTTTCCTGCTTACACGGGGCTGCCTCAAGGAGTCGCTATTGGCATGAAAACCGCGATCATCCTCAACAGCTTTGCTGGGTACTCATTGCTTTGACGTTGTCCGGTAGTGAGACTCTGATGAGCGGTCACGAATCTCGCAAGGTGCATCGGTGCATTGCTTCCACAAGTTGTAAGCTTCATCATATTGCTTCCGTTGGGTTGAAGATGAAGGCGGGCAAACTTGCCCTAGTCCGGCTATATGCCACCCTTGCACTTGCTCAATGGGGTGGTAGACGCTGCTCCAAATGATGTTTAATTCTATATAGGAGTTCTCCGACGCTTGGTGGGCTGTGGACAAGCGGTCCTGAGCATGGACCCGTTTTGCGCTGTTAAGCGAGAGGTAGCAGTACTGTGTTGGATCAATGTCGGGTCGAGTGCAGCGTGTGTTGCATAGCAGACGTGTGAGCGATTTAACAGTCGCTAACTTCGAACCGCCGCCGCACTCCGGCCCGATTGTCGTAGAGTTTTCTTCCCACCCAGCCCACGTTTTAAATTTAGATTTACAGTTATATTCACCCATTGGGCGACGGCGGACGATGGAGGGCCGGCTGCAGAAAGCGCACCGGCACCGGCTAGTCCTTCCGGCCTGATTCGTCGCCGAGCGGCGTGATAAACCGCGACATGAGAAGAACTTTCGGAGACTCGGAAACCTTACGGTTTTAGATCAAACAAAGATCAACACTGGATCGCGTGCAGCGTGTGTAGCGTTTGCTTGGCCAGTTGTTACAGCTGTTTACCAAGGCTATGTCTTTATGGACTTCCAGGCGCACTGCTGCTTTTGCATGGGTCGCGAAATGCTTTGCTTTCTGATGTGATGGTGCTGTGTTGCCTGCATGGCATTTGCACATGTATGGCCTCCAGGAGCCAGCAGATGTTGTACGCCTGTGCAGAAACCTGCTGCAGCTTGGAAATTTCATCGGTGCCCGAATCGATCGCAAGATGCAGGTGAACTTCGCACGTGCATTGGCTGCAGACAGCTGATAATAGCACAATGTTTGTCTTCTGCATGCTTTTAACCCGACACCGCAAAGAAAGCTGAGGCATCCAGGGCTGGGAAGGCTGGTGCTGGCAAGATTTTTGTGCAGCCTCGAATCACGGTTGTGCATTCGTGGCCAGAAGCGCACGTGTAACCCAAGAGGCCTGCTGCAACATTTTAGTGGTTCCGAAATCACCTTTGAGCCGGACGCGAACCGACGTCCCGTGGAAGAACAATGTTGTGATTGCGAGGGTCCGGCTGCGTCATCACTCGTTCTTCAGCTTTTCTGTCTCCTCTGAGATCCCCAGCTGTCTAAGGCCCGCAATTTTTTTTCCCGCCACAATCAGTGAACGTGGAAACGTTCAAGGCAACCGGAGATATTGCAGCGCTCCAGCAGCTGCAGTAAGACTCGGATTTCTGCGGTCGCGGATGCCACAGCATGGGATAACGTATTAGCCCCAAGGGCCGAAATTGTGCAGTTTCGAACGCTTCCACGATTATTCCTCGTGCGATATTGGCGTGGTGACAACCGAATTTGTATGGGTTTCGAAGAGCGCAACCGAGCGCTTTTGCAGCTTTCGACAGACACTCTGCGGCTTGCGTGCGAGCTTCGCTTGGCAGTTCACACGGGTTGTATTGAGCCGTTGTAAGCGTGCAAAATTCAGGCAGTCTTTTGTGATATCATGTGTGGTTTTCGATTGGATGCCGGAAGCTGCAGTTGTTCGTGCTGAAGTTTTTAAGCTTTCACCCCAGTCTGTAGCACAGATTTCCACCGTTTGATACTCGGCGATGCCTGGTCTTCGCACTTATCTTCGCATGATCTAGGTCTGGGTTCCAAAGTCTCGTGCCTAGCCAGAGAGGCTCGGCAGCATTCGTGGCTCTGTTTGAGGCGACTGCCGGTGACAGACAGAACTGATTTCTAGCCACTCCCAATTTTTCTTCTCCACTTGCCTTTGTTTGCGCTGCATGGCAATGGCAGGACACATGGATGAATAATGCCTGCTAATTATTTGACCATTGTGTTTAAACGGAGAAACCAAAGATTGCACCGAAAAATCGACATGCATGATCAAATAATATAAGTATGAATTCGAATCTATAATTTTTCGATTAAAAAATTCTGTATTTTTCTGTTTATAGTACTTGGTGTGGGGTTCTTCTAGCGGCTAGCGGTTTGCCAGGAGGCGTGGGAGCACAAAGATTCGCAAAGCGTTCCCAGTAACAGCGGGTA